AAGGACTGAGCCTTTCTGGTCAGGGGATGTTTGCAGTCGGAGGCAGCTATTAAATAATAATCAGTAGCATGTTCACCCTGCAAAGAATTCCTACTTGAAATCAGACAAGATTAATCAGAGGAGACTTCTCTGTTCACTAGAAATTTCAGATGAAGAGAGGCTACACGGACCAGGAACAGGCAGGATTATTCCAACATTTCAGCATTTTATGTTGTTTAGCTTTGTCTCTCATCTCCTTCTAAGAACATTCGGTTTTTATATACTGACATCGATGCTTAATTTGTTTGAAAACAAAGCCTCTGCACACATTCCCTCTGCATTGTTATTTACTTTATATTAGTATTTATAGTCCATTCAGTCGAGCTCTGGAGGAGAAGGCAACTGGCGTCCCAGGGAATGTTTGTTGAAGAGCAGCAGGAATGAGACAGCTCACAGGCAGGGAGATAACTTCCAAGTGTACATATAGTTCCTGCACATATTTAATTTGAGAATCACCATGGCATCAGGATACATGAAGTACCAAGGATGAAGTCACCATCTTTCTTATGTTCTTAAAATCGTAATCCATGCAAACATATTTTCTAGGGAATATTGAGTGCAGGCTTTGGTGCAGATATAAAAAGCCTGATAAGATCTCCTTGCCTGCTGCACACTGTGGGCTGCTGTCAGCCCCAGCCTCAGCTGAGCCCTGGGATCAGAGCATGGGCTGAAAGAACTGTGCCTGCCTTGGTCCCACTGAGCCTCCCTAAAAAAGCAGGATTTACAATGCACATCTACCACAACCCAGATTTCTTACACGTTAATGGGGTAACACATGAGTACTGGTGAAAGTAAGACCAGCAGAAACACACACCAGACTGACTGAGCAGGAAAATCATTTCCCACTGAAGCAAATCAAGTTCTAGGGGAAATGGTGTTTTACAGCTCTGCAACATGATCTGTACGACCTACAAACCTTCCTCTGCCAAGCCCGAGGGTGGGATTTTCAGGCATGCCCAACAGCTACCTGCTCCAGAAGTTAATGTTAAGGCTGTTACTGATCTCTGGGGAGCAGAATTATCCCGAGTACTAAAACACCCAAATCTCACCTTCTAAAACAGCTTTTCAGGACTCGGTTATTAGAGCTGTTCAAAATCCAGACAGCACAGTATCTGACATTTTTACTGATAAATTCAAGGAGAACAGGAAGTTCTTATGCTCCCAATCTCCAGCATACGAGTTCTTTTCTGCAGATCTGCCACAATGCAGAGAGATTTTATATTTACACCATCAGCTGCTGAAGTGCTCAAAGAAAGGAGATCTAGTCATGGCAGGATTACACAAAACAATCCTTAAACCACCTCTGGGCATGAGGGTTCTTCAAGGGTTGTTATCCCAGTGCCTGAGCAGTGCCAGGCCTGTGCTGTACCCAGCAGGTCCTGTGGCACTGATGGAGCTTCCAGCTCCCCTCTCTGTGGCTGGGACATCACCCCATCCTCGGGCTCCTTCCCTCCCGTTTGAGCTATTTTCAGAAAAGCCTCTTTCATGAGCAATGGCCCTGAGCCCCCTCAAGGTGGCCCATCCTGGACTGGAGCAGTCTCCCCTAGAAGCTCATCCCACAACTGCAGTGTTTTTTCCAGCCCTCCCATGAAATATGCCTGTGCAATACACGCTGCTGAGCACGCAATAGGTTAAACAAATTGATGATAAAGTATTCGACTTCGTTAGTTTTCATTACCATAAGAAAACATCAATTACATTTTCTATTTTATGAGTGTACACAGGGGAATCCATTACAGTAAGGGAGAGGCTGCATGACTCCTTCTGCTGCTCCTCTCCTCAGCAAAAAGAGCAGTTTGTTTTTAAAGGCAGTGACACCAGCCCAGAGGAAGGGAAGGCACACCGGCATATCTGCATAGACAGCTCCTGTCCTGATTTATCCAGCCTGGCTCCAACTAATTAAACATCTGCCTCAATGATTTCCTCTGCAGATTTATCTCCTCCAGTATGCAGCACGGACTGGTTGTTACAGGCTCTTTCCCAACTTGCAGCCATCCCTGTGTCCTCCTCCCAGCTGGTTCCTTGGGCACGAGGCAGGAGATGAGCCAGACCCCCATGAGCCCCCGTGGGTGCCTGTGGTGGGGCAGGGGTCCCACAGTCCTGCTGCAGGACAGCCACGGCCTCCAGGAAAGGGCTCGGGGCCACGGCTCTCCCAGCTACAACACATCCACTCACTTCACCACCTGCACTTCCCCTTGACTGCCTCAATATTATTATTTTAAAATGGTCAGAGTTCATATGTCAAAAGCCCTGAGACACTAAGAAAGGAGAATTGCAAAGAAGGTGAAATAGTTTGAACAGTTTGCAATAATTTTATCTAAATAGAGCTAGGCACAGTCAGAATATTGCTTCTGTTTTTTCAGGCCCCTTTCTATGAAGAAAAGGTTATAGCCCACTTCTCTCTCCTGCTGATCAGTATTTTGCTGCAACAAATAATCTTTACTGGCTGAACAAAGTATTTGGAGAAAACTAGCCGAGTGTTTTAGCCTAGTCATGCTGAACAAACCCTCCCCAACTATACCACAGGAATTCCTCAAATTTTCATTTTCCCACCAATCCAGGACCAGTCTGAAAAATGCCCTGTAAGTCAGTGGTGAAAACAGATCAGAAAGCAACTGCTTCTACCAGCACTTGTCAGCAGCATAAACTGCAATAAATTCCTCTATCCTGAAAAGGCTGATCTGGAGGCCCATTGAAGACAGGCAGAAAAGCTCACGGGCATTTCTGTGTTATTAAACTATTCCAAAAACTATAAATAAACACATTCAGCCTATCTTTAGTAACGACTTTTTAAAAATCAGACCAATCAGCTTTAAAGGAAACATTGCTGAAAGAGGAGAAATGTTTCTCCTAAATGATGTCTTATCTTTTATTGAGAACTTTGACATCCTAATCCAGTGGTTAATAATGACCCTGGCCCAGGCCTGTGCTGTGCTAATGCTCTGATCTGCAATTCCATTTATCCCTGCATCTCCCAGTGACAGCAAGAGGCACATCCTCTCCAGTGATGAGGGGGTAGGTGAGGAATGATGGGAAAATCTTTCCTTTTACTCCTGCTCCAGTCTCTCTGTGCCCACTGTGGTGGCATCCTGAGCTCTCCCTGCAGCCTGTCTGGATCCCCAGGGTCCCCTCTGTGCACACAGCTGCAGTTGCTGCTGCTTTAAAGATAACAGCAAGACCTTCCTAAGCCCTCCCACCCCACTAGAGCCTGATAATCCACATTTTGGGAGAGGGATGTAATTGGGAATAAGGAAAGGTTTGGATAAGCTAAATTAATGTTAATAAAAATTTCTGATACATCCCTATATACCCTGTTCCTGAAAAGGGCTCTGAGCAGGAGGGCCAAGGCAGCAAATGAATGTATTAGCTGACGGAAGGAATGCCAGGTCCATTCCTGTTCTAAAGTACTGAGCAAAAATAACAAAGTCAAAGCAGAATCAAATTTCAAATGGACAAAGAATAAAACATCTGTTACACGAAGGGGGGAAGCAGTTTAAAGACTGAGCTAAGTGAATCCTTTAGCAACCTCCCTTCAGGGAAGGGAAATCTGACCCCAGGAAATAAATAAAAGTCACCCAAAAAGTGAACAAAAGAGGTGTTCGAAAAAACCCCAACACCATTCATCGCCGCTAACGACTTGTTCATTATGAGTGATGATGGATAAAGACTTCTCACGCTGAGATGAAATCAAGATTTATATGCATTGTTTCCTCTCCCAACTTGTGGGAAGATCATCATCATTTAATTCTATCTCTGCGGCCAGCGATGGGCATCCAGAGAGGCGGCTCTCACACGGCGCAGTCAGCTGGCAGGGCCGGGACGTGCCGTTGGCACATCTGGACGCGGCGCCGCAGCCGGGCTGAGCGATGGCTGCTGGCCACCCTCCAAATTGCTGCAGACTGCCGGGGCTCCTCTCCACCCCCCAGCACCGCTCCTCTCCTCCTCCCCCAGCTTTTTTTTTTTACGAGAATCAGATTTTCATTGCTCCATTCAATTGCTCTTCTCTGCCATTTTTTACAGCTCTTATCGTTCCCTTGGAATATGGCCTTGAGACAGCTCATCCGTGTCCTTCACTGTGTTATCTCTTCTAACTTTTATTAAAACTTCAGCTCTCATCTGAAGATAGCTAATTAAATCCATGACAGATTATACACGCATTTAAAAACTGCATTGAACTACTTTTTCTAAGGAGAACAGGGTTTATTTTCTTTTCCCATAGTTAAAACTGAGGGTGTATAAGGAGGTTTCATTCATTTACAAAGACAAGATCCTTATCTTTCCCACTATATAGATGGGTTTATATTAAAGTTCCTTTGTTGCGTGACAAGACTCAGTGCAATTTCTCTCAGTAATTATTTCTTGTTGCTGGAAAGATCTCTCAGCCTTATACTTCCGAAATATATGCACTAACATATATGTGAATGCACATCTACCCCCCAGAAAAACATTGTCTAAAATAGAAATACAAGCGCTGTACATTTTCCTTTTTTAAGTGTTCATATGCCTTAACTATACCAGCACTATTTTGATAACATTGCAGAAAGTAAATTTTTCACTACGTGTAACAATGAATCCTTGAAATTATTTAAAATCGCACTAAGCATAATTTTCTTACATAAATTAGAAGTATATATACAAACTCTATCATGGGCTGGACTTGCTGTACTTCTACCCATCATCCCAAATTACCATGAACTGGTCTTGAATGCAAATGGCTTTGTTATCATAAATAAATATTTGCAGGAATAGATATACTGCTCTGCAGAAAACATTATGCAGCTCCTGCACTGCCAGCTCTGTGCCAGCACGGAGAACACAGACCTGTGCACAGAACTGCTGTGAGCGGGGCTGGGACACAGCCCCCCAAAACCTGAGCAATGTTCACAACTGTCAAAAAGAGATATAAAATATACTCATAGAGAAAACACCCTGCCCTCTAGAAAATACGATAAATAACCCACCTGAGCCTCTCTGTGATCCCTTCCTTCTCTTTAAGGCCTTTTGTAAGATATCCTTCATGGTGACCTTCATACTGTCCACCTGAATAAGTGAGAATCCATGAGCAGCATTTCTGCAAGACAGATGCACATGCAGTTTTACAAAACAATCATCACTGGCAGCTCCCCGCAGCCCTCGTTAGCTTCAAGCAAAGCACTCGTTAGGCACACGGTTAACGAACTTGGGCTGGAAAGGGAAGTTAAAAGGAGAAACCAAGCAAACTGCCTTAGCAAGGCAGAGACAAAACCAGCCAAAATGGGTTGAGATTCAAGACAAGGAGTATAAGGATTTTCCTAATTTATTGTTATTTTTGATCACTTGGCGTTCAGCATTAGAAGAGAAAAATGAGCCTGTGTACCTGGGGTCTCCTCACCTCCTCATCTCCTGTCTGTTTTGCAGCACACAACAGGGAAGCAGTTTGCAGTGGCATTTTCATCCGTGTCCCACACGTAACAAACCATTAGGGACAAGTGGCAGAACACCCCTCAGTGACAGCAGCTTTGCAGCACGATCGAGGTATTGCTTCAATGCATTATTTCCAGCCTAACGGGGTTTCTTTGGACATGTTTTTGTGAACACAATGGCACAAAATCTCCCAGAAACATCCCAGGCAGTGGGTCCATGTCCTGGCCATCACCCAGGGGAGAGGCCACACAGGGGAAGGACTGCAAAGAGCATGGGGACAGCTGTGGGGGATGCTGCTGCCAAAGAGGGGCACCCCTGGGGGAGCAGAGAAGATGACAATATAATAGAAGAGACCCTGAAGGAGCAGATCAGTAAATTTTGCCCCTTAGCCCTCGCAGTCAGTCTCGGCTCATGTCAGTAGATGTCACTGCAGACAGTTCCAGGGAAATCCGAGAGCTGAAGGCTCCCACCGGAGAGATTGCTCTGCATGGAAAAAACTGGTTTGCAAAGCTATTTGGGCAGGAGGAGGAGCCTCGTATCTGGCAACCAGGAATTTTAATCAGGGAGTACAGCTCTATATGAACAGCACAGCTGGAATATTTTTTAAAGCAACTGGCAGGCGAAAGCAATCCAAGCAACACAAGTACATCCTGCAAAACAAACCCATATTGCATGTCACTTTGAAACACAAATGCTGGGACCAGAGGCTGGAGCTCAGGTCATGTCAGCATCCCCAGCCCATGGTGACCCAACCAGGACAGAGCCTCACCACTCCCTGCTCAGGGCACCGACTGCAGCTGCCACGGGGGCAGGAGCCCCTGCCTGGCCTCGTGCTGGGCACAGCTCGGTGCCCTGGGACCCCTCATGCTCCTGGGAGCAGCAGCCCAGCCTGGGCTCAGGAGATGTGCCCCCTCGGTGCTGTGAGACGTCGTTTCCCTCTCCTCACTTGTGCATTGGTCTCATCTGAATTTCATTTTCAATTCCCTTTGTTCCTGGCAAAATGAAACTGCCTAAAAGCCCCAAATTTATGTTCTCCAGACCATTTATTATTTATAACTCTATCTTACTCGTCTTCAAACCAAATAATCCCAACCTTTCCATGCATCTACTTTTCCCTCTGTTTCTGCTGCACGCTCAGCGCTGCAGGAGCAGAGCTGAGGTGACACTGCTGTCCTGGGAACAGCCCCAGGGCTCGGAGGCTAACCCTGCAATGAGCAGAGATCTTCCCCAGCACTTCACTGAGGAGCAAATCTCCCCTGAAGCTGCTGTGGAGCCGCATGACCTGCACCACACACCTGCCCTTTACCTGGCCAGCCCCTCGCTTCCCAAAAGCCTCCCAGCTTCAGTCCCAAATTCAGTGGATTCTTGAAAGTGAAAAACCTATTCTACAATTATAATCACAAAAAGGAAACTACCTTTGTGCTTTTATTTAAGCAACACAAGGTTTCATTTAAGTGCTGCACGAAAAGCCCTCTGTGCTGGACCAGGCCATCACAACACCTGGTGCCTCCAGGTAATTCATACAATGCTCCGCAATACCTACAGGAATTTTCCAGAAAACTCCAACCAAAGTACAGGGAAATAAATTAAAATACTCCAGGGAAAAAAGAAATTGCAAAGGCAACAGAAGTCTTCCATAACCTGCTATGGCCAAAACAAACTGGAGTCACAATTGTACAAAATGCTTTTCAACATTTTTCACCCCAAAGAGAGCAGGGCCTGCAGCCCCCTTCCCACTGGGCGCAGAGTGGCCATGAGCAGATGGCCCCAGCTCAGGGCTGGTCACGCCCAGGGATCAGGAAGGTCCCAAAAAGGGAAGGTTCTGTCTCAGTTGCTGACACTTCAGCTGCTAAAGAGCACAGGCTGCTGCGATCCGCCTGTGTTCCGGCCGTCCCGGCTCAGCCGATTCTTTCCATTGAGCAGCTGGCCTGAGAACTGTCAGACTGATTTCCCTGACACTCCATTACTAACCCCTGCCCGAGCCACGGCCATTCTTTGCCTCAGAAGCTGGATCTCATCCCAGAACAATCTCGGAAAGTTTATGTTACTGATCAAAGCAAAATAAGAAAGCCTCTGTGTTTTGCTATATTTAGTGTGCGAGCCGTGAGTGAGCGCTTGGCAGGAGCGGTGGGACGCAGAGCGCGCCCCGCTTTTGTAAACTCTTGGCTGTTTGCTCTGGAGCAGAGCCAGAGGGGCCAAACCCCCAGCCTGGTCCAGCTGCTCCCCTCCCTGCCCTGGCTCCCCTCTCACAAGGCACCACAGACTGTCAGAGCAGCATTTCAGCACTCAGCAACCCCACACATCTGAGCCGGGGGTGGACTTAAGCCCAGACCAAAGAGCTCCTGCCGTCATCCTGGGGCCAGGCCAGAGCCAGGGCATGTCTCTGTGCCCAGAGGAGAAGCCCTGCAGAATCACAGATTAGCTGGGAAGCTGCTGGGAGTGACCTCTGGAGATCACCCTGTCCAATCTCCTGCCCAGGCAGGGTCACCCGGAGCAGGGGACACAGGAACGTGTCCGGGTGGGGTTGGGATGTCTCCAGAGAGGGAGACTCCAGCCCCTCCCTGGGCAGCTGTTCCAGGGCTCTGCCACCCTCCATGGAAAGAAGTTCTCCTTCACGTTGAGGTGGAGCTTGTTGTGGTTTAGTTTAAGGCCCCTGCTCCTCGTTCTGGCGCTGGACTCGCTGCCAGGGCGTCCCGGAGCCGTGGTCGGCACTGGAGCTTCTGCAACCCACCACACCCTGCCTTGTGTGACTGCAGCACAGGAGTTTGTGCTGGAGAAACACACCCCACCTCAGCTCACCATCCCCAGCCTGCTCTGCACTGGCCATGGGCATGGACTGTCCTCACTCAGCCCAGTCCCAGCAATCCTTAATAGCAATCACAAACGATGCGCTCTACCTCACTCTGCTAAGGTGCAATACCTTTACTTTAGGTCAACACACTGAAAATAGGACAGACAAGCAGATGCTGGTCAATCAATTAAAACTGCTGCTGGCAAATTGGAAGCCAAAGAAATTCCTTAGGTTGTATTTTCTGTCATTTTGCAAAAACATACCTGGGTGACAAGGTTAAATCAAGCAAAGGAAATCCCTGGCACTTATCATCCACAGGCATTACTGATAAATTGTGCAGTGGAGGAATAAAGGATTACCTTCTGTATTTTTTCATTACACTTTTCTTTTGTTACAGAATACATAAATCCATTGTGGCACAATGTAATATGTATCATCGTGCTACACCTGTGGACGTTTCATAACGGCTGCCATGTCTGTGCAGTCAGGAATGATAAGTGAACCACCCGTGAATGTTAATGATAGTGATCATTCTGCAGTAACTTGGCTTTCCATCTTCTTTTACAGCCTCCGTGCTGGAGCCAGGGTGGCAAGGTTCAGGAGAGGGAAAGGGAAACAGCAGCAGAGGCAGAAGCTCTCCTCGTGGTGCTGAGGTGCCACGGGAACAGGCAGGGTCCCCCCTTTTGCCACAAAATAAAACACCCTACACTGGAAGGACAAAAGGTTTCTGCCCTGAATGAGAATAGAGCTTTTTGAAAAGCTCTTTTCCAATCTGGAGCAATTTAAAATTTTTTTTCTTTTTCTTTTTTTTTTTTTTAACACAGAAGTGGAATTTACTTTCCAGAAGTGGAATTTATAGCACTTAAAGCTCACTGCATAACCAGCTGGCATGGCTGGAAGTGCCTGGGAGTGACTAATAGCAATTTCTACTTGATCAGCACAAAGTCAGAGTTAAGACTCAAAATCCCAGCTGATGCAATGGATTTACCTTAAGCTGGGTAATTTTTAAGATAAAGTGCACAGTGATAGGAACTGGACTAGCTAATGCCAGCCACAAGTTTTACTCTGAGCCTAAATAACCTGCTTTTGTGCATCTCAGATTGGCCTTGCATAGCTCTGTGCACCACTGAGTTTAACTGGCTGCATTTTGACACCACTTTAACAGTCCTTAGACCTCTACCAAGTCTTCTGGTGCCCTCCTACCCTTCCCTCTCCACTGTCCTGGGAGCCACATTCTAAATTTTGCACCCACATTAACTGTCTTAAATTTTATATGAATATTCTAAAATGTACTTCGCAGATTACCCACCCCCATGCACAAACCAGGAACAGGCCTTTGGGGGACTGCTGCTGGAGTCCAAGAAAAAACACATTCCAGGGCTTTGAACTGAATTTGCAAATGCACAATGCAAATTTAGGATCTTTAAAGGGTTTCAAACCTTAAACTATCGGATATGGCAGAGGTGCTGCTTTGAAAATTCGTATATAATTGTCAAAGCAATTTAAGAACAATATCAAAACAGAAAAAAGTGCTACAGAGCAGAAGAACTGGGTGCCAAATTTCCTGTGTGCCAACTGGCAGCTGAGCTACAGCTCCTCGAAACACCATTAGATCGAGTGTGTCGAGTTCCAATAATAAAATTTCCAAGGGAAAAAGCCCTAATGATGGTACAGATTTATTTTAAGCCTTTCAGGTATGACCTCACCACCTCAAGAAGTCTGTATTTCCATGGATGTGGTGCTTTGTTTGCCTCTTCCTGACAAACCCCTCGACAGGAGAGCGGGGCCGTGTGCGGGTGCGTGCCTGATGTTGGACAAAGCTCTGCTCTCCACAGCAGCCACCTTCCAAAAACATAACTCGCTAGACTAATGGGCAGTGAGCAGCCAGAACGACTGCCCTCTGTCTTCTCCTTGTGTAACTTTGCCAGAGTCCTTGGAACTTGCCAAATTCGGTCATGCCTGCTTAGCTTGCTCGACTGATTGTGCCAGAAAAGAAAATAAGACACAGATGTATTTGAGCTCTTTGAGATGCCAGTAAGAGCGACAGCTAATGGCTTCATTTCGACCCTCCCCTACCAGCTGGGCACAGGTGGGGGGATAATGAGGTCCCTCTCCCTAATCAAACTCAATTATTTACTACTCTGTACAGCCACAAAGACATTCACATCCAGCTCGGAATATAAACTGCACTGCGGGCTACTCCCAGCCACCACCTCTGGGTATTTATAATGAACTGGAGTGGCTCAGAGTTTGCCTTGGCAGGAGTTGAAGTGTATAAAGTTCTGCAAACTGTTTCTGCTCAAACATGTCCTGCTGCAGGGTCCCTGGCGGGCCCCTCGCGCTGCGCCCGGCGACGGCAGCACGGGCAGAGCGAGGTGGAGCAGGCTCCAGCCCGAGCTCCTCACACGCAGCAACATTTTTCAACAGTGATTCAATATTAATAAACATTACAAGTCACAAGGCTGACATGGCAGCAGCTGAAGTACTTCAGCACCAGCAGGAAAAAAAAGAGATGCAAAATATAAAACCACAATTACATGCACCGGTAGAGTGACAGGGGAGGAAGAAGACATAGAATTTACAGCAAATCCCTACAAAAATACGACAGCACGCACATGTAAACTCACAGAGGTAACCACCTTTTGATTAAGTGATGATCAAGTCATTCTTTATTCTCGGGGACACATTAAAAATTCTAATTTAAACCTAGCTATTTACACAGTAATCACAAGCCATTTAAAATTAAAATGTGGACACTGGTACCAACGAACTGACCCCTTCAGAAGAACACTGCTTATGATGCAGCTGTCCTATTTCTCCTCAGCAGCACCTTCCAAGCTAGAAGGAAGCTCCTCACATCGGCGCAAATGATGGTAAACCAAAAGATGCTGCATTTTTCTGCAGGCCCTGCAGCTGGACCCTGCTCTGGCTCCCAGCTGCAGGCAGAGCTCTGCACTGACCCCAAGCCAGGCACCCAGGGCAGCACTGGGGAGGGACACAGCTGGGAAAGGGCGCTTCTGCCAGATGAGAAATCAGCAACCATTTAGAGTTGTCTATTGACAATGACCTCCCCTTCCTCAGCACAGCCAGCATCTCAGCCTTGAATAACTTAGTTGTGAACACCAAGGCCAGAATATTTTATTTCCCAGCGCCCTAATGCAGTGGAATAAAGTGAATGTGTCCTTTGGGAATACACATGGGATTTCTGACCACGGCTTTCTGTAGGATGCTTTGGAACGTCACTAAGAAACACAGTACACAATAAAGAATATAAAAACTAATTAAATAAGCCAGATTAAAAAAAAAAAAGTCTGATTATTCAGAACTAGAAGCAGCTGTAGTGTTCAGAAATGTAAGTAATGTCCAATAACCAGGAAAACCTTATTAGCATTTTCATTTCAAGAGCTCCAAACATGAAATATTTTTCCCAAGTAAGAAGTGGCTTATGCTCCTGGCATTTTGTTCTAGTAATTAAGGCCTTCTGATGGTTTAAGAGATTTTTCATTCACAAGTAAAGGAAAATAAAAGTGATCAAGCACAGTATATATCCCTATTTCACTGATAAGGACATAACAAATTCTTCTTGATCTACAAGTCAGACAGCTCAGGTCTCAGGGGTGGAGGGGATGTCCCTCACCAAACCCTTCTGGATTTGGGAGGGGAATGTCCAGTCCAGCTCCAGCCGGTGTGCTTGGTTACTGCTCATTTCTCTTTCCAACCACGGCTTTGTTATCAAGCCACACTGCAACTCTTTGGTCTATAAAGTGGTCTATAAGACCACTTGCCTCACTGCAGAGCATCACCAGCAGGTGTGGCCCGAGTCTGGGTGAGGTCAGTGAGGGGAGCAGAGGAGGAGGAGGAGGCGGAGGCGGCTGTCCCCAGCCCCCAGTACTCACATGCGCACGAAGAGCGACTGCTTGGCCGCCAGCCCCGGCGACGAGTACTTCTCCACCAGCGCCAGCGTGCTGAAGCCAAACTTGTGAATGGGCTCGTTGGAGTCCAGGGGGGGAAAGTCCGTGTCCACCTCGCCGTCGTCCTCGGCGATGTGCAGGCAGTAGGTGCTGACGTTGTCGCTGCAACAGAGAGCGCCTGGTCAGCACCGCCTCGGGCTGCCGGGAGTAATATTTCTCCATTTCTGAAAATTCATTTATTTATATGATGACTACTCTTCAGAGCTAAAGGCAAACAAGTGGTCTCTGTGATTTTCCACAGGTCAAACAACGGTGAAAGTTTAGTGTCTGAAGGCTGGAAAAGCAGAGAGTGCTCTTGGGCAGGTAAGTGGGGTAATGAACTAAAGGAAAAGTAAAAAATCTGTCCAACACATAGCAATGATTAGCAGAAAACTTACCTTTACTAAATACCTAAGTTCACTCACTAAAAGCAGTCACAAATTAATAAACACCAACAAGCAGAACTAACACAGAAAACTGATATGGATACAGTGTGAAAGAAATAAAGAGCTGAGCCTCTTTCCTTCCACAGATGAAAGCCCAGAGGGAAACAACTATTTATAGCTACCAAACAGGTATTAATCATAATTTCCTAACATTGAAATCTATTTCAAATGTTACTTCAGTTTAAATTATTGACCTGAAAATAAGTATTCTTTCTGACTGTAAACCTGCCAGCACTCAGGCCTTTCCCCAGCCATGCAGTAAAGCTGGAGGTGCACGTGGCAGCATGTTTCTAAACTCTGCAGTTTAAATTTGGAGTTTTAATTGCATGATTGATGCTTAAATTAATTAATTGTAAAGTGTATGCTAATTGTTTAATTGGTCGCTTGATCTATATAGATCATTTTTTGAATTAAATGAGTTGATTTACAAAGTTTATTGATTGGATGTGACAATGAATTATTTCACTGACTACCTGATTTGCAATTTTCTCAATTAATTCACAAACCTTTGGTTGCAACTGTGCTTTATTGAGAGTGCTTAGCCCAGGTGATCTATAGGCATCTTGTCATGACTAAGACATTTATTACAGAAAACAGGGAATAATGATGCATTGCTGTTAATGTAAGCTGCAAATTTGCTCACCAAAGATAATCCAGCAACAGTCATCACTCTGAATTTTGAAAATTCTGCAAACACTAGTAAAAAAACTTTCTGGCCTTGGAACCTTCCAGGGATGGGGCAGCCACAGCTTCTGTGGGCACCCTGTGCCAGGGCCTCACCAGCCTCATAGCCAAGAATTCCTAATTCCCAGTCTCACATCCATCTCTGCCCTCTGGCAGTGGGAGCCACTCCCTGTGTCCTGTCCCTCCATCCCCTGTCCCTCTGCAGCTCTCCTGGAGCCCCTCCCGGCCTGGCAGGGGCTCCAATGCCAGCTCTGTCCCAGAGCAGAGATGCTCTCCCAGCCTGTCCCAGAGCAGAGATGCTCTCCCAGCCTGTCCCAGAGCAGAGATGCTCTCCCAGCCTGTCCCAAAGCAGAGATGCTCTCCCAGCCTGTCCCAGAGCAGAGATGCTCTCCCAGCCTGTCCCAGAGCAGAGATGCTCCATCCCTCAGGGCACCTCTGGGGTGGCTCCAGCAGCCCCACACCTTTCCCAAGCCAGGGATCACAGCCCCAGCCCTGCCCCACTCTGCTGAGCAGCGTGAGCATTTCCATTTGGGTCCTGGTGCATTGGCACAGCTCCCACCAAAGCTGGAGGAACGCTCAGCCACGGGCCAGCAGAGCACACCCAGCAGGTCCCAGTGCCACCAGCTTCTCTCCCAGCAAATCCTGGGAAAACACACAGCACTGGTCACATCCCATAGAGCAGAGGGGTTACAAATGCCTTCAGTCGTGGACTGCCTTCCTGAACAGATTTGGTCACCAGGTGTTTAAAAAAAAAAAAAAAATAGCCCAGTGAGTAAAACTGTTCTGCACTTTGAACCTCCACCAGGCTGAGAGAGATTGAAGTTGGGAACTTACAAGTTCAGCACAAAAACTGAGAGATTCAATTCCTGCTTCTAAAAATAGCAAATGTATTTGAATTGTGCACCTCACTATTAATTTGTTCCTAGAAAGGGATTTTGTTTATTTTTTGCAGATGGAATCATTCCAGCACATCTGTCAGGGGCTGGCAAGAAAATGGTCTGCTGGGTTAGAACCCAAGTCCCTGTGTGAGAGGCCAGGGACAGGGCTGCTAACACTGCCAGGGGTTCCTCGAACCAAGAGACTGAATAGAGACAAATACAATACAATTACAATAAAAAAGGCAGCCTAATTGAATACAGAATGTTCTCAAAGCTGTCAACTAGTACTCATTCACTTCAGACTCTTACACCTATCTTTTAGGGAAAGGAATTAGGCAGTAATATATTCTTTTCCTAAAGACAGAGGGGGTTGTTTCTCCTAATTATAAAGTCTAAAACCTCCTCATTATTCTCACAGTGTCACTAGCAGGTATAGTTGTCACTCTGCATGCCTTGCATACCCATCTGAGGCATTTTACAGATGTATTTTAGTGCAGTGTCACAATGATCCCCATTTTGTCTTTTCACTCTCTCCTGATTCCTGACTGAATCAGGAACAAATGGCCAATGTAGAATGGGTACCCTACACGAGCTCCTTCCTTACGTGGAAATATGAGATTCAGTTTACAGTTAAATCAGTCCTTGCTTCAGGACTGGCAGACAGCAATGCTAAAAAAAAGATGATGAGAAATAATTAAGGACCTAGAAGAAAAAAAACTTCCAGGAATCTCGAGGCTCTGGCCCTTGGTCTGAGCCTTTGTCCCCCGATTCTCAGCTGCTGCTGTGTCTGACACGTGCTCTGGGGAACTCACGCCTCCATTATTTATTTTATTCTTTCTGCCTGAGATTTGATTACATTGGACAGCCTACTTGCTCATGAGCACTTTTTGACACATCATAACGTCTTATCCTTCAAGGCAGACAGTGAAATTCATTTCTTCCCACTGTTGCCTTGTGCTGTGGGCAGTGATGGCTCATGGAACACTCCACTCACGGGTGCTGCTCCATTTGAGCTCTGCTGTGCTCCTGGAAAATATGTGTGTGCCCAAAGACTGACATCAGTGCTGTCTTACTCATTGAAAAATAACCTAATCATACACAAAGGACACTTCTCTGAACTTGTGATATAATGAACAGAAATTAATAACAGCAAATGAAATGGCACCATCTGTGAATAATTTTATATTTCTTCTCCAGAACATAGAAAAGGACAAATTAAACCCAAGTGTTTAACCCCAGAAACATTTCATATGTCTGTTGAGAAGAGCTAAGGGAAAGCCTACACCCAAAGAAAGAACATCCATGGAACTGTTTTCAAGAGGGGCTGCTTTCCTGTGTGCCCTGTCCATGGAACAGAAATCAGCAAATCCAAACAGGGGAGGCCAAGACCTCACTCCCATTCCCCCCACAGCTGTGCTACAACAGCAGCTGAGACTGCTGAGCCCTGCAGGGCTCCTGAAAAATGCTGAAAGAGCGAGCTGCAAAATTCAGGATCAAAAAACCCCACCCTATTCATTCAATATTCCAGGATCAATAAAAAATAAAAAAGTGAAATTTGGCTCATATAGAAAAAACCCAAAAAACCCTATCAAACTCCTTCACACCAGGGGCATCCCTGCCAGTAACTGCCACTGACAACTCTGTAAAAACTACTTTAAGTTCTTATTTTATGTCCTATGGCCCAGCAAAATGAGACGTATTTCACACAACTGTTCTAAAACGAAAGCTGCTCAGGTGAGCTGTTCTGAAGATATGTCCTGTCATCTGCCAGGAAAAGGGAACAGCTCTTACCAACCACCAGCAGTGCTCCAGCATAGCAAAGGGACTTAGAGCAGCTCTGGGCTTTATCTGACATCTTGTGATCTCAGCCATTAAGGACACCAGCAAAAAATAGATGGGACATGAAATAACGAATGCCTCTGTGACACCAAAAGTGATAAAGTTAGCATTATTTTTACATAGTTTTGAAATGATGATTCATTTACAGATCCAAGCCTTGCTGTTGATCATTTCCCAGCACACAGCAGTTAATTGAGAGAGAAACGGCTGGAGGTGCACGTGTGCTGCTCGGAGGGGAACACTGACAAATGTGAAGGTGCTGGGATTTATACTTCCAAACACTGACACAGAAATCCGTTTCAGTATGCAAAAAGGCTGCAGAGGAGAAATTTAAAGGTCAGGAGGTAGTAAAGAAAGAGCATTACTTCAGCTTGGGTTCCCGGCCCTCACTTGTATATTGCCAGCAGATGAGCCCGATCAGGTCGTGCACCTTGGCGTTGGCGATGGTCACCACGGTCATGGGCTGCAGCTTGTCCTGGCTTGTGTGCAGTGGGAGGTAGACATCGATTTTTTTGGTTGCCGTTGTACCAACGTGGCCCTGTTGAGGAAACACATTTCATCAGGATGTATAAAAACATGTGACAGGGTTTATACAGAATCTGGGCGGATGGAATTCGGCTCAGCAGGAAAAGTAAAATATGTTGCTATGGCTTAAAATTGGAAGAAGATTGAACATTTAAATTCCAATTATTTCCCTGCTGTTTATCTGCAAGAAGGACATGAAATATCTGGACACGATTTCACAGATTTACATAAAGAGCCTGAACTTTGCTGCAGGATCCCATCTTCCTGCAGAATCCAAAAAAATGGAATTATGTGTGGGATGGGGAGGAAGAGGGACCCAACAAACCAGGCTAAGACTTCTGAAGTGCACTGCCCTTGTTTCTGCAGCCCTGCAGAAGAGAAGCCCTTCCCCAGCAGCTGAGGAGCCCCAGCCCCTGGAGGGAGCACAGACTTGGCACCAAGGCTTGGCCTTGGCTTGCCAAGAGCAGAGAAAACCACACACACAGCTGAGCCTGACCCGCTCTGCTTGAGAACACCAAGAAGAATCAACTAATATTGGGGTTTACTAAAAATTACTGCATGAAAAGAACCCATTTGATGCCCTGGAGATTGACAATTAAAAAAACCATGAAGCACACAGCAACATAGATCTACAAAGTTTGCATTGCAAGAAAAGAATGTTTAATCCACAGCAAGGACTGCAGCTTTCACCCAGAAATCTTGTAAACAAACAAAAGATTGCACATCCTGATCTCCTCTTCCAAAGCACTCCAAGTATCTCCATCTCTCTCCATACTACAAGGGCCTTGAAAAGAGAAAGGGCTTCTTGAATTAATCACTTGGAATTCTAAGTAACAGAATAAAAGGATTCAATGCTATAAATCTATAATGAGAGCATAAAACAGGGAGTTAAATGCCATGTGCTAATTTCAATATATTGTTAAAAACCATTTGATCCTTCAGTGTGATTATAAATTAGAGAAGTAATAGGAATTTAAAGACTAAAGTTATTCATACTGGCATAGCTAAAAGTATTATTAAAATCCATCCCAACATATTACATTTATTTTTTAAGAAAGCATTTTTATAGAACAGATACCTCCTCTTCCCATATTTTTAGGGTAAGAAGAAACCGGTTTGGCTCATTTAAAGGAAGGATTAGGTTTGCAACAGAACATGGGATGTTCCTTCATTTTCTTGGACAAACCTGAACAACTTTTGGTTGAGTCATGTGCCCGGGACCCTCCAGGACACCACCCACAACCTAACGAGGTCATGAGCACAGCAGAGCTACAGCTGGTGAAAAACACCAGGGTGGGTTCCTGTCTCTCCATCTCTCTTCCTTTTCTACTTCCACGACTTATTCTGGAAGGGAAATGAGCTGGTAGCAGGTAAGGAATCAGCTGTGTGTGCCCAGTGCAGACACCCAGGGGCAGGGGAGCCCAGAGCGCTGGTCCTGCCCCGAGCTGAGGCTGTTTTGGCAAGAGAAGGAGCAAACAGCAGCTACCAGCAAATTAATGTGGCTCCTTGGCACGCCAAGGCAGTTACATATATAAATCCAAGGAGGGCAGAATTGTAAGTAATGCTGGGTCCTGATAATGGAAAAGGCAAGAAAAATGGACACGCAGATGTGGGAGTCGATGCCAAGGTTACAATTGATACACCCAGCCAGGGAAGGGACAAACGAGGCAGGAGCTGGGACTGACACCCAAAGAGACCAGGTTATCCATCAGCCACAGCTGTGAACTCACAGCCCAAACCCAGGAATGATAAAATCACCCTGCCCAGCACCCTGGGCTCCAGCTGTCCCAGCCTGGCAGTCACACTCCTGGGGCTCCTCTCGCAGCACGGCTCTGCCTGGCCCCACACTGGACTGACCTGGGCTTTGCTGGTTTTTAACTAAACCTGTCTCAGCTCTCCCCATCTCTAAATCTCCTCTGCCTCCTCCAGCCTATTTTTACTGTCTTTCTTGTCCAATCTCCCTCCACCACAGCTATCCTGCTCTGCTCACAAACACTCAGTGTGAACAGCAAAATGACAGGTGACTTAAACCAGGTAAAACCCACACACCTCTGAGGAGTCCAACTGCTCTGTGAGCAAGGGGAGCAATCCCAACAACAGCAGGACTGGGAAATGGCTCAAAGCACTGCTGGTATACTCAAGATCTTTTAAAAAAGTCAGAGAAATAGTTTTATTAATTAGAGGTCTGTAAAGCCAATGGCCATGAGGTATTAGGGAGGCTGAAACCTGAAGCCAATTAGATTTTCTAGCAGTAATAAGAACATCCATTGTCACATTGGGGAGGAAATGTTTGTACAAACCTGTGGTGGATCAGGGCTCAGGGATCAGTCCCACACCAAGGGGGTCTGGAGGAAACCTTCACTGTGTTTATTGCAAATTGGTGGTTTTGTTCAGAACCACATGAAAAATCCAACCCATCAGCCCTCAGCCCATCCTGCAGAATGCTAATTGTCACTATTGGACACAAAGTAAGTTCAAAGGCCAAAAAGAGAGCGTTTCATTCGAGCATCTGATATTTATAGAATTCCAGAGGTGCCTGTGGATTGGAGGATGGAATTACCACCTCTGCAGCCACACTGGTCAAACCAACAGTCCATCGATTCTCTCCTCCCACAAAGAAGAATGCAAAACAATTAAAAACAGTGTGTGAGAACTCCAGCAGAAACATGTAAACATCAGAAGGCTGAAGAAGTATTAGGAGAACTCTGATGCTTTCAAAAGAACTATAAAAGAAAACTTAACACTTTTAAAAGTCAGTTAACTGTGCAGGAAGTCCCCGAGAGCAGAATTACTGATCTGCTTGGAGCCCACGGGGCCGGGCTGGCCCTGGTGGCACCAAGCACGGCCAGCCCAGCCCCACTGGTCCCTCCAGGGAACCCCAAAACCCTCCAGGGAACCCCAAAACCCTCCAGGGAACCCCCAGAGCCACAGGCACCCCTGGAACCACAACCACCTCTGGCCCCCAACTCAAAACCGTGCTCCAAGTGGAAATGCTGAAGAAACCCAGAAGATAAAGGACAATTACCAATATTCAAAGAGGCAGCATCAAACTTTATTAATAGATCCTGTATAAAATTCAATGGAAAATCTATTCAGGGCCAGGGGCCTTACCATTTGGAGTTTCCTTAATAGCCTCCAATAAATCTGGGAAGCATAAAGGGGCTGTTAAATTAACATTTTCCTGATCTGTCACCTGTGGCACAGTTAATTTGTCAAAAAATTCTTTTAGCTTGTCACTGGACACTGTATATTCTGACAAATGAAGTCTGGAATAAAATTGACAAAATATCTCGTTAATTTTCTAGGAAATCACAAATCTGATTCCATTAAGCTTTTATTGTTAGAAATGTTATATCCTTTAAGAAAGTGAGGAGTAACTGGATACACTGGAAATGTACAATAAATCATAGAAAACTTTCCTAGTATTTTTACTGATGGATTCTCTTAAGGGTCTCTGGTGCTCTCCTACAGTATGTCAAATTACAAAAAAAAAAAAATCAAATGTTATTCCACGAGGGAAGGCACCCCTCCCTCCAGCAGCAGACGGGGTGCACCTTCAGCAGGTCACTGACACTCCCCTGACACCTGGCCCAGGGACAGCTCCTCACCCCAGAACAGCTCACCCCAAAAGCTGCTGGGGCACTGCAGAACGGGGAGCTGGTGGCAGTCGGGCTCAGCGTGTCCTTCTCACTCCTGCTCTGCTTCACCGCACACCACGGCACAAAATTAAAACCAAGTCCATAAACATTTCCAAGAGAAAAGTGATTGATTTTCAACACTGACAATTTACTGCCTCTTCCTGCACAATGGAGTTCTGTGACTAAATGTTATATCACTTTAAGATTAGATGTTCTAATGATATAATGCAAAGATTTTACTGAATCATTATTTAGTGGGAGTCATAAAAACCTCTTAAAATTAATCTTTCATGCACATCTAGCTTACCCAAAGTTAGCATTTAATTAGATGGCCTTGGCACGAATGAGCTTACTACTTTATTTGCTCAATCAGTATATGTCTCTTCAGTAATTATAATTAATTCAAGTCATTGACTCACCTCCCAGCAAACAACGCTAAACACTGCACAAAATGGAAACAAATGCTTTTCCGTTCCCAAATGCAGAATGTCTTCTCACTTTTAAACTCAGTTAAATGTTTTTTGGTTTGGGTGACAGGGTGTTGACTACACTCTGTGATCCAGCAATCACCTCCACAACATAACTTACTCGTTTATGTATTTAATTGACACACAGAAAATACTTGAAGGGGAAATGTGGAAATATAATAATAATAGTAACAACCCAGTATTTACAACACACAGAAATTTCTAACAGATCACAGCACAGATGTTTATGGCAATATAAGGGACCATATTTTTCTTTTTTCTTTCCTTCTCCTGCCCACCACAGATTCCCTACCATGGCAAAAAAAGGAATGGTGTTTGTTTCATCAGGTGGTTACACCAGTATTGGGGTTTTTCATAACTTTGGGCACTTGGTTCCTCCTGTTACTCCTAAACCACAGGTGGAGGACACCCCAGAGAGGCTGGGGCGCACCCCAGCACACTGCCAGCCCTGCAGCTTCTCAGTGAAGCCTCAAAGCTGTTCCCTTCTGAGGGGAGGATTCTCCTTTGCATCACCCCAGCTTGTACTGCAGAGTTAGCAGATCACGATGTAAAACTCCATTAACATCATTAAATACTTAATTTATCTTATTCACACTGTCACTATTCATAAAAATTTAACCCGGTAATTTCCTGTTATCCAAAGCATAACAAAGTATGAATATTTAACTCCAAGGTAAATAACACACTATTATTTTTTATTCTAAATTGTTGACTTCACTTAGCATGCCTGCTCTGCACGGCACCACGCGATTTGTCAATTAAAGGTCCAGATGTTTCGCAGGCTGCAGAGGCAGCAGCAGCTCTGAGCAATGCGTCCTCTGCATGGCAATGATCACTACAACCCCTGCTCCAGGCTGCATTAACATGCTCATGTTTTATTCCAGCCC